ATACAAACAGTATTAATTAGAATGATGCACAATGCAATTTTTTTAGATGGGATTATTCATCTGGAAATAAACAAATATTGCATAACTCTGAGCAGAAAACAACAAACCGTTTGCCTGAGGGCAGCAAGTAAAGTGAGAATTGGCTACATGGTCATTTGTCAACTCTGTACAAAGCAAAAGCCCCCAGGACCTTCACAGGCACACTCATATATAAGGACTTACTCACAGTGAGAGGATCCTGGAAAGCAATATACACCGATTTTCATTCAGAGAAAGTAAGAGATTGCTGCCTATTAATCATCTCAGGCCTGGACAGAGATCAACGGCCTTCCTTTGAGCATGTCTCCTATCGTCAGCCTCTTTATGGGATTTGGAGGAAATGGGTCATGACTCCCTGCGCTCATTTTATAGCTGAACAATCTCACCTCCAAAGGTGAGGTTTAACAAGAACTTATGAGCCTGTGTGGGGGGAACATAAAGTTTGAAAGGAAAGTTCGCCAAGAGAGGCTGGTAGTATAATGCTATTCAGGGCTGGATTTAGTAGGGTGCTAGGGTGGGTGACGCCCCTCAGATTGTCTCAAAGTGTGACATTCAAATTATTATTGCTAGCAGAAGTGACACTGGATTAAATTAAGTTCTTTTAGGAGCGAGTTTGCAGTGGCTTCTGCAGCTAACCATGAGTGCTCCGACTGACTTATGAAACATTTTCCAAGTGAGTATTTCAGTAGTTCTGTCATGACAACTCTCTGAGAGTTTAGCATGGTATTGTACATGACAATGTTAATGTGTTTGGTCTTGGCAGAATAGATCTGCTACGCTGCTGCTGGGGCAGAGCAAGTACCGAGATTTGCATCCACAGACATGTTGCTGTGAGCATATAAGAAAAATTGCTGCTGCACATATAACATGTGAAATAACCCCCAAATAACATACATGCAATCACCCCGTAGCAGATCTATACAGGTGGAGCTGGGGAAGGTGGAGGGTTTCTGAAGCGCGCTGCAACTGTGTATTTGAATGTTGAGCAGCAAGCTCATTGGCTACTGATACAAAAAGAAACCAATCAGCTGAGCCATGTGAATGATGATGTCATTATGTAAAATTGAGTTAGTACCTGTTGGATTGTGCCATCTATAGGGCCTTTCGCACCGCTTTAGTTCCAGAACTAAATGACCCTGCTCCGGAGTAGGAGCTAATTTGGTTCTCGAAAAAGTCAGTCCGGTACTAAAATCGCTCCCAGTTCCGGCGGTGCGAAAACGCCAAAAAGTGGGTAGTTCCACAATTAGTTCTGGTACTATGAAAAGGTTCCTGCGGTGCGAAAGGCCCTTATGTGTATGCGCCTTAAAGTCGACTGAACCAGCCGTGCCAATCATTTGTGAATTAATCATTCTTTTGAGTCAGAACTATCTTTTCAGTGCAAAACGCAAACCGGTTTGAAATTATTCATATTTGTACAAATCGCTAAATAAATCATCTGAAGCGGTTTCTCAGTAAAACAAACAGTATAAATACTTAAGAATACAGAGAACAAACAACATTGGATGAAGTGGATATTCACCAACAAACAACTGAAACAAACGGTTAAGTTTTTGAGTTAACTTTGTGAAAATTCAGCTACAGCTGTGTAAAGCGTGTGTTTGTGTTTGTCTGTTCAGTAAGTTCTGCCCCAAAGTATACACCATAAAAACTGTTGAATCAAGTTTATCTCTATCTCAGCCATGAACTAAACATTTGTATGAGTTTCTTTCTTCTCTTGAGCATAAAAAGATGATATTTTGAAGAATGTTGGTAACCATAGTATGGCAAAAACTTTTATTTTTGAGTTAACTATCCCTTTAATACTTTTTAGAGCTACTTAGCTATACAATTTTTAATAAAACTTATTTAAAAATATATATATTTAGTCAGGATACAGGGCTACTTTTTAATGACTGTCAAAGGAGAAAGATTCATTTTTTCCAGAATAATGTAGTTACATCATCTTACCGATAGGATGAGCAGATAAACCTTGACATCTTGAACACAGCAGGCTAGATCCAGATTTCATTCTTTTTTTTATCATTTAGCTTCAATAGCTCAATCTTTTTTACCAGAAGATCTGATTAAATGCAGTCTGAGAGTGTTGCTGAAACTCAACAAGATGCGTCTGACAGCCTGAGGAGTGGGAAATTATGAATATCTGAAGTTTTTTGCTCAGCTAGAACAGCAAACCTTGAGGCAATCTGAACCAAGCAAAGGCACAGACAAAGCACAGTTGCATACTGCATATCAAAGATCATCTCCTACAATCTATTATTAATCAAGTATCACTGATATAGCAGTGTTTTCTCATTCACCCGTTTGTCTTATGTCCACAGTTTCATCAAAGCACAACCACTTCCAAAATGAACCAAAGTTTGGCTGAAAATCAGTCAAGTGAGAAGCTTTCGGAAAGCTAAGCCTGATCAAGGGTTCGCTCCAAGTTTTTTGTATTTTCCCTTTCCTTTTTGAAGTTTGTAAGGGAGTGTATATTACCCATACAATGTCCCAAGAGAGAATCAGGGTGTGAGCAAAACCCCTAGCGAGCCAATTAAACCTCACAGAGCAAATAGAAAACATAACATCGTATGTGTAACAGTCTCCACAAGGAGTGAATGACTTCAGTAAACTAATAAATGTTTTATCAAACCATTTACACTGTCCGGCTCTATAGAGACATTCTCTCTGTTGCACTACTGAACTTTTCATTATTTTTCTGTTTACTATTCTGGCTGTGTAGACACTCCAAATATTGCTGTGAACATCTGAGCCATTAATCTTGAAGTTGATTGGTGAGCATGATACATGGTTTCTTATCTTATTAAAGTCATAATGGTGGAGGTGAAAGTTTTGCTCCCCCTCCCCACACCTTATCAATCAGTACTCCTAAAAAATAGTTCACCCAAAAATGTATATTTGCTTAAAATGTAAATTTTTCAGCTGTTTGGACTCTCATTCTGACAGCACCCATTCACTGCAGAGGATCCATTGGTGAGCAAGTGATGTGTTCTGATGAAGAAACAAACTCATCTTGGATGGCCTGAGTGTGAGTACATTTTAGTTTTGGGATGGACTATTCCTTTAAACAGAATATAGTAAAAGTTATACAAAGGCTGACCTTTTTTATGTCGTGCATGCAGAAAGACAATTTAATGACTCTTGCAAGCCAGAGGAAATACAGCTTTTCTCCAGAATGCACAGGCCTATGTGAGATATTAGGATAAAATACTAAAAATGTGTTTGATCATATCATATAATCATCTATGCCGTGGAAATAGACATGGTACTTCATTTTAGGCCAAACTGTTGTTCGGTGTGTGGATGACTGATGGTAAAACTAAGGACATTATGTACTGTCTTTACATTTATGTTGAAAGCTGAAGCTCGCGATTATGGAAAGGGGCGTTACATTTCCGACGCGTGCTTGTGGTGTTCGGCCAATCACAATGCACTGGA